GGTGACAAACATTATTGTAAGAGAATGTTCTACCCTTGAGAATTCATCTGGGGATGGGAAGAAAGCCAAAAACAAACTGCTTCGTCCTCTAGTTTAATCTGCCTGTTACACGGTCTCCTAGCAGCCTGTATCTTCTCTTCAAAGCACTTCATTGTTTATACAACTATTAGTTTTATCTCTTCCCTCCCCTTTCCTCTCTCTCCTCTCCTGGTTGCCTTCCCTCCTCTCCTCTCCTCCTCCTCCTCCTCCTCCTCCTCCTCCTCCTCCTCCTCCTCCTCCTTCTCTTTCTTTCTCTTTCTACTTCCTTTTTCCCTCTCTCCTCCTGTCTCTCTTGTTCATGATTATTTCTACCATGTAGCATATGCTTACACATGCTGGTGTTCTGTAAAATTGGGGAATGAAGGTGGGGAGTGAATCTTGAGATTATCCTTAGACCTGCAACGCTTGTGCATTTGATATTTTTATTTTAGGGCAGAGGAATTTTTTATTTTATTTGTTTATTTATTTATTTATTTTTCAGCTGGAGTACAGTAGTGTGATCTCGGCTCACTGCAACTTCCACCTCTCAGGTTCAAGCCGTTCTCCTGCCTCAGCCTCCCAAGTAGCTGGGATTACAGGCATGTGCCACTATGCTTGGCTAATTTTTGTATTTTTAGTAAAGATGGGGTTTCACCAGTTTGACCAGGCTGGTCTCGAACTACTGACCTCACGTGATCCACCTGCCTCAGCCTCCCAAAATGCTGAGATTACAAGCTTGAGCCACCACGCCTGGCCAGGCAGAAGAATTTTATTTTTGAGATTTATGACCTAATGCAGCCCTTACCAATATTCTTAACACTCTCCTTTTAAGTTTTTGAGTAAGCCAGTTTCATTACAAGTCATCATTGTCAGCTTCAGGTGTTTGACCCAGAGAAGGACATTTGTATTCCGCTTTGGGCTATGGCTCTACTTAATTAAGTAATCTTAAGTAGATGCTCCTGCCTCACTAGGCCTCCAAGCATCTTCCTTGTAAAAGGAGTTGATTGGTCTGTGTGATTCCTTAGGACTCTCCAGCTCTACAGCCCATCCCCATTCAGCCAGAGGACATGGTGCTTCTTCGAGGTCTCTGCCAGGACATTAGTAGGCAGTGGAAATCTTCCACCAAAATTCAAGGGGGATTTTGAACATCAGAAGATGGAAAATGAGAATCAATCCATCAAATTTATTATTTGTTATTAATTAAGGTTGAAAGAGTGAAAGTACTGACCAATATGCATCTGTGATTTTAATCAGCCATGCTGTCGCAGTCCGCTGTTTCTGTGGAAAATTAAGATTTGCCTTTATGTCAGCTGCTGGGTATTTGGGCAGACAATGTTGTAGGAGGAGAAAAGTACAGCTGTTTTGGTCAGTTCCAGGTTTGCATACTGACACCTCTGCTCACTAGTGATCTTGACCCGGCTTCTCTAAGCCTCAGTTTCCTCATCTGTAAAATGGAAAGAATACCCATCTTATTGTGACTATTATTAGATAAATGAAATTGTGTACGTAACATGCTTGGCACATAGAAAGCACTCAAGAAAAGCTAACTTACAACTAGGCGCAGTGGCTCATGCCTGTAATCCCAGCACTTTGGGAGGCCAAGGCAGGTGGATCGCCTGAGGTCATGAGTTTGAGACCAGCCTGGCCAACATGGTGAAACCCTGTCTCTACTAAAAATACAAAAAAATTAGCCGGGCATGGTGGCGTGCATCTGTAATCCCAGCTACTCGGGAGGCTGAGATAGGAGAATTGCTTGAACCCAGGATGGGGAGGCTGCAGTGAGCCGAGATCATGCCACTGCACTCCAGCCTGGCCAATAGAGCAAGATTCTGTCTCAAAACAAACAAACAGAAAACAAGAAAAAAGAAAAGCTAACTTATTTCTACTGACTTTTCCTAGTTGATTTGTGAAAACAAGGTGACAGGCCAATTTGGAGAAAAATATGGGTAGAAGTTGGTGACCTGGCTTCACTTAGCCAAGTCTTTTATTCACTGACCATATTGTCATCATCTTACCTATGTTCCAGAATTGGTTAATTGTTACAGAATAGTCCCGGAGTTTTGAAGGAAAAAAATGGGAAACTTGCTGCAAAGGCAGCCAGACCTGGCCCCACCCTCCAGCTCCCTGCAGTATTTTAAGTCAGCGTCTCAGATGATGATGATGATGGTCACCATCCGATCACCATTTATCATGTTCCTACATATGCATTGTCTCATTTCATTCTCAGCCATAGCAACTCTGTGGGATGGTGGATTACATGTTGTTATCTGGTGAGGAAATAGAAACTCAAGGAGGTCAGATGACTAGCCCACATTCACACTGCTAATCCGTGGATGGAGAAAGAGTTGAACACAGCTCCTGACTCTAGATCCAGAGTCTTTTTGCCACTTCATGTAGTCAGGCATAAAATAATGATTCTGTCTTATTTCTGAATATTTAACTTATATGTAATTTCACTCTCATGTTTTCACTTCCTTACAGAATATCTACTTCTTTCAAGAAGTATTTTAAAGATCAATGCTGTCATATTCATTTATTTTACTATAGATCAAATTCTATGGTAACAAATAAGATTACCAAAAATCCCCAGGTATGTCTACATACGTATATATGTATGTGTGTATGCACATGCATATATATCTTTTTCTTTCAAAAGCTCTATCCAATAGTCCAGAAATATATTCCATTGAAAAGAAAAATAAATGGATTCAATTTAAAATCCCAAATGAACTTGCTCAATTTTGGCGGGAGGGAGGTTGTGTTGAAATTTAATTTATTTGCTATTTGGGACTCATGCTACTTCTCAGAAGAGACACAGTTTTCCAGTAGAGATAAATGACCTCTTCCAAGAACAATGGAAATAGAAAGGGGATGGGCATGGGGTGGGGGGCGCCGCGGGAGAAGGGCAGGAAGCACAGATGAACGGAAAAGAGAAGAGTTATAAGCAGGTTGGCTTCCTTTAAAAAGATGGGAGAGGGTCTCCAAAAAATAAATAAAATAAAAAGTTAGGCTACCTATTGGACTATCCTTCAAAGAGTGACTATAACTTAGTGTAAAAGCAGATTTTAAAAAATATAAATACAGTGAGTCACAAAATTCTCTCACCAAAACCAAGATATGAAAAAAAAGAAAAAAAAAGAGTAGCTTCTATTTTTCTTCAAAACTGCTCTGAGCTTCGTGTAAGCCTCTTTCCCTGGGGAATCCAGGAAAACTTAGAATTGCCAAGAAACAGTATTCCGATTTCCTCTGATTTAAAGTCTCCTTTCCATTTAACCATTCAGTCTATTCTACTGGGTATCATCTGGTGGGGTGTAAGAAGTCTCTTGAGATAAATAATGTTTCAGAGCATGCCTTTTTCTTTCCCTTCCCAGGATGGTGTCTATATACCATGGGGGATGAGGGGGACTGTCTCTTCCCTCATACGGTGTCTGGACAGACCAACTCCTTGGACTGATGACTGCTGAGTGGGCCTGGTTCTGTCTGGCTTCTTGAGAAGCCACATGTGCTGACCCTACTGCTGGAGCCCGTAGTCCTGATCATTTGTCCTGGCTCACTGTGGCCTCTCTTGCCACTCCCAAGTCTTTGCTGGTCCACTTGTTTCCTCAGAATCTCTGGGTCCTCTCTCAGAGGCATGAGGGCTCCCTCAGTTGTGAGGAACAGGAAAGATGGCCTTGGACTCATCCATTCATTGCCTTCCATCACCTCCACATCATTATTCTTCAATGGTGTTAAACATGTCCTCAGACTAAAGCTTACAGCCTCCTTGCTTGAGTCCTGGAGAAATTCTCATCCACTGTCTCCTCCCAGTATCTTTTATCTTCTCCCGAGAGTGGATGTTTCAGTAGCATCCCACCCTCGTCTTGAATTTTCTTCTCTGAGCTGCTGGCTCTGACCTACATTCTTTACCACCATCTCTCCTTTTCCCCCCGTCTTGGCTCATAAGTGAATGGGGTATTTTCACTGCACTGGGAAAGAAACTAGATCAGAGTCTTCTAAGCTTGAATCTGATATGTATTGGGAGTTAAGGGAATTCAGACTGGCCTTCAAGATTACTGTCTTGACCACTAAATGTCTTTTGAATGTCAAAAACTGCATGTTCTTTTCTTTGAATTCATGCTGATAAACCTGAGACAAATAGATGTCTATGGCAGAACTTTGAGGTAAATCAGTATATTAATGAATTTTTTTAAAATTACAAAAAATTAAAATAAAAATAGAATATGTTCTTATTACAAATATTCAACAACACAAACATATATAGTAAAAAGAAAAATTCTGTCTTGCCTTGCACCCCATCCTACCATCATACTTTCCCCTCCAGATGTAACTGCTATTAACAGTTTAGGGTATACCCTTCCAGACCATTTTCTATATGTTTATATACATATGTATGTGAAAACTAAACAAAGGTATAGTTTTGCTTCAATTTTTAGTGAAGTGACAATGACACATAGTCTTCTTTTACTTAATATGTTTTGTAACTCATTCCCTATCAGTAGGTATCAGTCAACTTCACTTTTAAAAACTGATGCATGGTAATCCATAGTATGGATGGACCGTTATTTAGTCAACCATTTTTCATGATGTTACATTTACATTATCTTACAACATTTGGCTTTTATAAACGGTGACACCCTTGTTTACATCTCCTTATACAGTAGCTCAAGCATTGCAGACATGTTTGCCTTATAAGAGCCTAATGTGGAAAGTGATGACATTCCATATCTGTCCTTTGACCACCTGTAAACATGAAAAGCAATGCTGTCAGGAGCCCCATAGCCAGAAGCTGAGCTTCTGCTTTAATTTTGGTCGTTATTCTTCATTTTTACCACTCAGTCAGCCCCCCTGAAATGGCAGAGTTTTCAATTTAAATTTTTCTTCTTTAAAAAAATTTCTTTTATTTTTTATTTTTTTAGAGATGGGGTCTTGCTATGTTGCCCAGGATAGTCTTGAACTCCTGAACTCATGTGATCCTCCTGCCTCAGCCTCCCAAAGTGCTAGGATTACAGGATGAGCCACCGCACCCAGCCATCAACTTATGTTTTTCAAAAAGTACCACAGTATAGGTAGAATAAGGCAAATTCAATGTGTTAATCAATGTTTATCGGTATGGACCTATTTTTAGTATCATTATTTCAGAGAATAAAGTTGAAACTCACAGTGCATCATCCTCAAAACTGCAGAGTGGTCTTTTCGTGGGTGGCAGAGTCATGGCAGTGAGTTCTGTCAGTGGTGGTCATGCAGGACAGCAGTATGCCCAAGTTACCACCATCGTGATGAAGACATGAAATGCTTGCTTCTCTGCACTGTACAGGGCCTCAGTGGAGAAGAAGCTTGTGGCTGCAGGCACAGCACAGCTCAGGTAACCAGCTGTCTTGACACGGGTTTGTCGCTACCCAGTTTATTGATTCACCACCGTGGAGACTTCATGCCCTCCTTTCTGCTTCCGCTGCCTTTACCGTTTCTGCTAAACTATATTCTTTCTCTCCTAGGTCACTGGACAGATGGTCCCTTTGGATCATGTGCTCATCCCTGGTCCAGTCAGCTGTGACCAGAGGAGCAAGATCGTGTGAGACAAGGCTTGAAACCTAAGGAATTTCAAAGAGGGGACCACGATGGGCATTCAGCGGCGTCTCAGGAGGGGGCAGAGTAACCAGCAGGTGCTTTGCATGCTGGTCTTGTGTGTCTGGAAAGGGCATCCTGCTAAAACATTTGTCATGAAACTTCTCATCAGCGTTTCCAGCGTGCAGGAGCAACGGCGAGAGCCACTTAGATACCATCTGATTATAATGTGTTTCTCAGAGAAATAAAGAGCCCAAATGGAAACACACTTCTGGTTGTCAATTTTTACAAACGCCCTGGAACTCAATGACAGTTCTCCAGGATCGATATGGTCTGGTGACAGTGAATTGATTGTTCCAGCAGAGATCTTTAATGAGATTGTTCACACTATTCAGGCACCACCATCTCCAGCAGATTACAATGACAATGGCGGGGCCTTGTGAATATAGAAAGCAAAGCAACCTTCCTGCTCATTTCTTTTTGAAAGCACTAACCCCTAGCAGCAAGGCCTTCTTGTTAATTAGTTGTTAATTATTGGGACAACTCGTGAAATGTTTGTTAAAGAGCTGGTCCAAGTGGCAAAGAAAAGAACCCACAGCAAGAGACTGAATGGAAGGATAATAAAAGGAACGAATACGCTTTTACACAGTTCACTGGCACCAAGGAAATTCTAGCAACTTACTCCTCTGGTGCAAGAGGAGAGGTACTGTAGAAATGCATAGCAAACAAACTAGAATGGATGAAAACATAATAGACATGTAGAGCTAGAAGGAACCTCTATAATCATCTTCCCTTATTTTACAGATTGGGAAACCCAGGTAACAGCGCATGGATGAATTGCCTAAGGTTCTGCTCCTAGTTGGTGTCCTGCGAATCAGTGCAGCCCCGAGAACTCATCACTACCAGGCCCAGTTGAAGGTGAGTGGTGGGGCATTTGATTTGGACCTCCCATTACAAAGGGGTTCTATTCTAGTGTTTTTTTCTTTATCCTCAAATGACAAGTATGGTCTATGATGTATACGGTTAAAGCAACACACCGACAAGCTATGACATACATGATCAAAGCAATAAACCAACAGATTTAGATTGTCTTTCATGTAACTTTTAACCTGTATCCCATGACTGTATAACCAGACCACACCACCTTTGAAGCTTTATAAATAAATACTTTAAAAATAAATTCCATTATTGTGTGAACAATTATATTGTGTCGTTTACTTATTCTTTTTTTTCCTATGAAAAGTTCATTTGTTACGTATATATCTATAATATACCATAGTTTTTCTTATCTTGTTTTGGCATTTAAATTTTTTCTATCTTCTCTTTACTTTTTTAAAAATATTCTAAAATCTACAAAAATAGAAGCAGCCCAGGCTTCTCGAACCTCTCAGGGCTCTCGTTCACTGCTCTATGTGTTCTTATTGTAGCATGTCACTTTCATAAGGGATTTAAGTTGACACAGTCAGGTTGTAGCTTTCATGATGTTACATTAACATTATCTTACAACTTTTGGTTTTTATAAAGGGTGACTATCTTTTTTTTTAAGTAGGAGATTCTGTGTTGCACATCTGGAAGGCTGTCATAGGAACCCAGAACTTTGCTATCCATCTCCTGTCAGGTGTAGACAACCTGGACACCAGTCCCGGTAAATTCTTAGGGAAGAGCAGTTAATATTTTCATTCTCTACACTAGCCATGCCGATTTGTTTGGGTAGCTCTGTAATATGCCTTCAAGTTCATTCTTATGCACAATCATCTTTTAACTTAATATAGTTACTTAATGCAATTGACTTAGTTTAGTTAACTTAATATAGTTTAATATAGTTAATTTAATATAGTTTACCTGCAATATAGCAGGTAAAACAATCAGAGTAGGGGTAAAGTAAGAATATTATTAAAAACATTTTTATTCCCCCTTGAAGAGTTGCTGTAAAATGTTGTCTTTTCATTCCTGCTTTCTGCTTTCAGAAGTGATTTGGAAAGTATTGCGGGATGATGCCACTTTTGTAATGAAATTACGTAGGTTCTATGCAATCTATGATAATTGAAGATTCTATTCCTTAGGAAACCCTTCAGTCCCTTACACTGGCCCTGTTACGTGGTGCCAGGCGTGCAGCCTTACCTGACGCACCTAGGACTTCTGTCTCATTCTTCTCCCAAGTTACACTGTGTAGTCTCAATGGTTCTCAAACTTTAGCCTGCATGAGATCACCTGGCAAACTGGTGTAAAATGCAGAACCCAGCCTCTCTCACAGAGATTCTGATTCATTAGATGTGGGGCAGGGCCAAGGAATCTGCATTTTTAAGAAACACTGCATTTCAGTGTTAGGTATTTTAGAAGCACCGTTGAGAAACTCTGATCTGCCCACATTTTCTTACCAGTCCCTTGACTGGTAAGTCCCTTGACACGGATGCATGCTTTTGTATCCATCCAAGGGACCTGGTAAGAAGCCTCTGAATTATAGGCTTTATCTGTTTATTTGGGTGACTCACTCCGGGGATCCCTGGGTAGATGCCCCTCCTCACTCAACCTGACTCCCAGGACCTTCCTCTACTCCCTTTGCCTCTGGCAGGGAGAACAAAAGGAGCCTGGAGAAGGGCAGACCCCCAGCAGAATAATGCCTACCAGTGGGACCTTCCTTCTAGGCTCACTGCATTACCTGTGAATATATTTTTAGAATAGATTTAGAAAAAACTCAGGCCATTTGGGGTCAGTTCTGGTGATTCTGGTTTATGATCAAGTGGGAGAATTACTATTCAAGATCAAGCTACATATAACTATAACACACATCACAGCTGGCATTCTGGCTTGGGTCATAAATGCATCCATGGCATCAGATGCAGCGTTTCAAAAATACTCTCTGTAATGATGGTGGATATCACAGCCAGGCTGCCCTGAATGAACTTACAGGTTGCTTACAACTTGCTCTTGTTCTAATGGGTTGGGCAGCCATTTTTACTGACTGTCTCGTTGATTCATTGGTACTCTGCTATGCCAGTTGTCAAATACTTGTACTACTGGAATTAATATACAATTTTTCTCCTGAAGGACAAAACTCCTGTGAATATCTCATTTGAGAATGTTTCTTAAAAATCTAATCTCGTGAACTAATAGTCAATCTTTGCAAATGACGTAAGTCATATGGCTCACATTCTAAGTGAAAATCTACTTTAAGCCAGGTTAATATTAGTCCTACATTTATTCCACGTATTAGCTTATATAAGCTTGAAATCTCCATGTTGTGTGTCTACTGCTGCAAGCATTCACTTCCAAAGTCTGCATAAGGTTGGAAATTTAATACTCCCAATACTCCAGCAAAAAGATGCCTTTAACTTTCTTGGCCATATCTTTAGCTTGGTTTCCTACAGATGGCACTCTGCTGATTCATTTCCTGATGGTGCACTCAAGTTGATTGTTTTATTCTTTCGAAGAATGTTATAAATTGCAGTTTGCTTAGAGTTGAATGATGATGGGGTGGGCTGGGGTTTACAGTTGAGAAGCACCACTTTAGCTTATAATAGGAAGCATGTAATTTCAATTCATGAAATAAGCTGGAGAAGTATTTATAAATAATTATATGTCTGGATGTGTTTGTATATATAGTTACATTTATTTTTAAGCATACATAGAACTTAAATTAAATATAAAAATATTCATACATATAGTAATGCAAAAACCACTATACCATTTAAAAATTTTTAACTTAAGTTCCAATTCTGGGGGTAAAAGGAGTGGTCAATTCTCAGTTATCACCACACCTAACTTATCAGTAGAACACTAGATACAACTGATGAATCCTTCCTTCATTTTGCTGTCAGACATTACTTGCAGTTGGCTTTCCTTCTGCCTCTGGGACTGCACCATCTGTTAGTCACCATTGCTTGTTCCTTCTCTTTTGACCAACCTCTGAGCATCAGAGTGATGAGGATTTAATCTTTGGACCTTATATGGAGCTATACTCACTTCCTAAAATTTCAGACTTGTGTATCCAGTTACCTAGTTAACTTTCCATTTGGACGTCTAACAAACATCTCCTGCTGAGTGTGTCCAAGGCAGAACTCTTAATTTATAACCCCTCATCCCAACCTCACCACTCCTGTTGTTTTTCCCATCATGATAAAAGGCAATTTCTTTGCTCTCCTTGCTTAGGCCAAATCCTCAAAGTCATATTTGACTGTTCTTCTTTTCTCATACTCCATATTCAATCTGCCAGCAAATCCCATTGGCTCTTCCTTTGAAATAAGGAAAATAAGCCAACCTCACCACCTCCTTCACTTGCTGGTCCAAGGCTCTGTAATCTCTCTACTATATTATTGCCATGGCCTAATTACTGGACTTTCTATCTCTTGTCTCTCTTAGACTTTTCTCAGCACAACCACCGCAGTGATCCTCTTAAATTTTAAGCCCAAACAAGTCAGGTTTTTGCACAAAACCCTCCAATGGTTTCTCAAATCATTCAGCACAAAAACCAGAGTCCCTCTAATTACTTATAAAACGCTCCCCCAATCTACCATCCCTGACCTCATCACTAATACTCTTACACTTAATCATCTGCTTCAGCCCTACAATTTCCTCTGCTGTTCCTCAGACATCCCAAAGATTTTGTCACCTGAAGGTCTTTGCATGTTCTGCCTCCTTGTCCTGGAAAGCTTTTCCCCAAATACCATTTTTTCTCTGCCTTCAGATTTTTGATCAAATGTCACCTTGTTCCCAAAGTTTTCTCTGACCATGCTATTTAAAGTACAATGCTCTACTCCACCCCTTGCAATCTCAGTGCCTCTGTCCTGCTTTAGTTTTCCTTTGAAGCCATTATCAACTGACATAGAGTTTGCTAATATATTTTGTCATTTTCTGTCTCCTCACATTAGGAACTAGGGTTCATGAGAGTAGAGGTTTTGTAGGCTTTGGAAATTAGTATTTCTTTAGCAACAAGAACAGTGCATATGGCAGATACTCAATAAATCCGTGCTTAAAAAAGTAACAGTGTATCATGATAAAAATACATAAGCACATGAATCAAATATAAATACAATGGTATCCATCTCCAATATGTTCTCCAGTGATCTTTACATGCTGCTAAAGAATTAGTGTAGTCCTCCTCTCCATTGTATCAGGGTTAATTTGTGTAACCAATAGATTATGTAATGTTGTGTGACCTCTGAAACTAGATTGTAAAAAATAGTAAGTTTCTATTTTGTTCTCTTGGATCACTGACTCTGAGGGAAGCCAGTGACAATGGGGACACTCAGCAGCCCTGTGAAGTG